TTTCTCCTTTTTTCAATGGGTAGACCTGGTCTTTTTTTTTTTTGACGGTAGACCTGTTCTCCTTTTGCTATGGGTAGACCTGTTCTCCTTTTTTTGACGGGTAGACCTGGTCTCCTTTTTTTGACGGGTTGACTTGGTCTTTTTTTTTGATGGGTAGACCTGTTTTTCTTGACAGGTAGACCTGGTCTCTTTTTTTTTTTTTTTTTCGGGTAGACCTATTCTCTTTTTTTAGGTGGGTAGACCTGTTCTCCTCTTTTAGGCAGGCAGACCTATTCTCTTTTGGGCTGGTAGACCTGGTGTCTTTTTCGAAAAGGTACACCTCTTCTCTTTTAGGTGGGTAGACGTGGTCTCTTTTAGGTGGGTAGGCCTGCTGTCTTTTTCGAAAGGGTAGGCCTGGTCTTTTTTAGGCAGGTAGACCTGGTGTTTTTTAGGGGGTAGACCTGTGTTCTGTGCCAGAAAGGTTAACCTGTTTTCTTTTAGGGGGTAGACCTGGTGTGTGTGCCCAAAGGGTAGAGCTGGTGTCAGATACAAGCAGGTGGACCTGCTCTTTTCTCTCCTCTTCCCCCGCAGGTACACTTCGGGTCATTTTTCCAAAGGTAGACCTGACCTCTGTTTCCACCCGCTACACCTGCTGACTGTGGCCAAAGGGTACACCTGCTACCCGACTCACACGGCTAGACCTGCCCTCTATGTTTAGCCCCAACACCTGATCTCTGTCTTCAAAGTCTACTCCTGCTCAAAAGCCCTAACCGTAACCCTTAACCCCAACCCCTAACATGTCCATGCGGGGGCGGGGCTGGGGGTGGTTCGGGAAGTTATCTGGCAGTGGTGGGGATTGTTTGATTGTGATTTAGGTGCTTTTTTACATAGTTTCTTTTCCTTTGTAAAAAAATAATTTTTTGCTGCAAATCTTTGACTCTCCACAAGGAAGCAACATTTCAATTAATTTTTCCATCGCAACTGTTGTTTTCATCCGCTGGGTGGCCCATGAACGGGAGGGTCTCAGGGAGGCTCATGGTTACCACCCTTTTCTCCTCGCATTTTCCACCCCTTTACCCTCGCCTTTCCTGCCATTTTCCCCCTCAATTTAAGGCCTTGAAATGGTGTCAAAGAAGGGGGTTTCCTCGCTTTAATCCTTCAAATAATGGAAAAGGAGGTTTGTCAATTCAAAGCCCTTTTCCCCCTTTTTGATGCACTGGGGAGGGACTGGGATGCATTGGGAGGGTCTGGGGAAGGACCGAGGGGACTAGGAAAAACTGGACTCAGATTTTAACAATGTTTTTATTTAGTTCCAGAATTCCTCAGTGTTGGGGTCCCCACCTGGTTTGGGGTCCTCCATCTCAAATGCCCCAATCTGGGGGGACCTCCACCTCATTAGCAACCTCCATTAACAAGGCCGGGGAGGTAGGAGTGTACTGGGGGGGAAAGGGGGCCTGGATCTCCCTTTCTTCCAGTGCCCCTCTCCCCAAACCAATGTGGTTCAAACTCATTTCACAGAAATTTGTGGGCAATTTCACTGAAATTGGGAAAAATTGACATGGTGGGGAATCCCACAATATGGGGCTGTGCCACCCCCATACTCAGGAGACCCCACCCCTATGACATCACTCCGTGGTGGGGAGGGACCGGCGGGACCCGCGGCGGCTCCTCAGGAGGAGGCGGAGCTGTGGGGGAGGGAGGGGTCAGTGGGATCCCCAAATCCCAGTGTTTGACACCAGAAGAGAGGGGTGTCACCTGAAGGTCCTGGGACTCCGCAGTTTCAGGGATTGTGAAAATGGGAAGGGTGAATCAGCAGGATTTGGGGGTAAAGCAGTGGGATTTAGGGAGTAAAAGAGCAGGATTTGGGGTAAAAAGGAGGATTTTGAGGTGAGCGGCAGGATTTTGGGGCAAAGTAGCAGGATTTCACAAAATATGCTAAGTTGGAAGGGACCAACAAAGATCATCTGGTCCAGTTCCTGGCTCTGTTCAAGAGGAGAGATCCCAACAATCACACCATGTCCTTTAGAGCGTTGTCCAAACTCTGTTTGCACTCTGTCAGCCTTGGGGCTGTGACCACTGTCCTGGAGAGCCTGATCAGTGCCCGATCACCCTCTGGGGGAAGAATCTTTACCCGATATCCAGCTTAAACCTTCCCTAGAACAACTCCAGCCATTCCCTTGGGTCCTGTCACTGGTCACAGAAGAGACTGGTACCTGCCCTCCTCCATGAGGATGTTAAACAGCCCAGTGAGGTCTGATCTCAGTCTGAACAAACCAAGTGCCCTCAGCTGCTCCTCATAAAGCTTCACCTCCAGACCCTTTCTCATCCCTGTGGCCTTCTTTGGATGTTCTCCTTACTTAGTGTCTTTTCTATATTGTGGTGTCCAAGACTGCCCCCAGGACTTGAGGTAAGGCCACCCAAGTACAGAGCAGAGCAGGACAATCCTCCCTTGACTGGTTGGTGATGCTTTGCCTGATGCCCCCTAGGACACGGTTGGCCCTCCTGTCTGCCAGGGCAGTGCTGACTCATGGCCATCGACCAGGACCCCCAGGTCCCTTCCCTCAGCTGTCTCGAGCCTCTCATTCCCCAGTCTATACACAAAGCCAGGGTTGCCCCGTCTCAGGTGCAGAATCCGGCACTTGCCCTTGTTAAACTTCACACAGTTGGCGATTGCCCATCTCTTTAATTTGTCAAGATGTCTCTGCGGGGCCTCCCTGCCCTTGAGTGACTCAATAGCTCCTCCAATTCAATGTTATCTGCAAACTTAATTAGTCTCCCTTCCACTCCTGCATCCAAGTCATTGATGAAGATGTTGAAGACCACAGGACCCAAGATGGAGCCCTGTGGAACCCCACTAGTGACAGGTCACAGCCTGATGTCACCCCAGTCACCGTCACCCTCTGCCTGACCCATGAGCCAACTCCTCATCCGCCACATGATGTCTTTATCCAGCTGTGGGCTGGACAGTTCATTCAGAAGGATCCTGGGAGAGATCGTGTCATAAACTTTACTGAAATCCAAAAGGATTACATCTCCTGGCTTTCCTAGATCAACTAAGTGGGTTACCCTGTCATAGAAGGAAATGAAGTTCAACAAGCAGGACTTTCCCCTCATGAAGCTGTGCTGGCTGTGACCAATGAGAGGTAAAGCAATGGGATTTGGGGTACAAAAGCAGGATTTTGGGGCATAGCAATGGGATTTTGGGATACAATAGCAGGATTTGGGGTAAAACAGAGGGATTTGGGGTAAAAGAGTGGGATTTTGGGATTCCAGGAGTGATTTGCGGCATTTCCTCCCCACCAACGGGAGGTTTTTGGATGCAGCAGGGTGCTGGGGGGGTGCTGGGTGTGGGGGCAGGGATCCAGGGGTCCCACCTGGTCTCCGGGGGGCCCAGGGGGCAGCAGCCCTTGAGGCAGGTCATGTTCCAGGTTCCGGGCACTGGGGTCAGCCCCCCAGGCCAGGAGCAGCCGCACGAGGGGCTCCTGGCTGGGGGTTCCGGGCAGTGCTGCTGCCATGTGCAGGGGCGTGTTTCCATGGGCCTGGGGGACAGGAAGGGCTCAGGGCACCTCCAAATTACCCTCTAGCCCCCTGAGAGGTACCTCAGAGACTCTCAAGACCTGACACGTCCAGACCCCCCCACCAGCCCCTCCACAGACACCCCAAAGCCCCCCAGGGCCCTTTTGATCCCCTTGAACCTCCCAAAGTCCCCTCTACCCCCGCCAGAGCCCCCCACAGACACCAACCCCCCCCATCCCCCAGAGCCCATCTAAGCACTGGGGGAACACCAGAGCCCCCCATAGTGCCCCACATACACCTCTGATCGCCCCACTTAGGGCCCCCCATAGAGCACCTCAGAGCTCCCTCCAGCCCCACAATCCCCTCGAACCCCTCCAAGCCCCCCAGACCTTCATATTGACCAGGCGTGGGGCCATGCCGGGCTGGCGCAGCAGTAGGTGGGCCAGGGCCAGGTTGCCACCCTGCACGGCCAGGTGTAGGGCTGTCAGGCTGCTTTTGGTGTCCTGGGAGGGAGACAGGAGTCGAGGAGGTCCCACAGGGAGACCCACCCGCCCTGCAACTTTCCCCTGACCCCCTCAGACCTCAGTGCCTGGGAGCTCAGGTCTACCCAGCCCATGGGGACCTTGAGGCAGGACACAGTGGTCTTTGAAGGGTGGCACAGGGGCCTGGGCATGCACCCAGGGGGTCTGAGGGACACCTGGACATCTGGGGGACACCTGTGTATCCTGGGGGTGTCCATACCTGGCTGCTGCTGTCTGCTCCCATGTGCAGCAGCAGTTCGACACAGCGGAGTCGGTCCTGGAGGGTGGGAATGGGGGATCCCCCCACAGGGGCCCCTGCGGGGGTAGTGCCCCCCCGCAGTGAAGCATTGTGGGCTAGGACAGCGCAGTGCAGGGGTGTCTGGCCTGGGGAGGGGAACAAAGGGGGTCAGGATGGGCCATCCCCAAATAGAGTCCCCCTGGAATTGGAAATAATGCCAGGGACTCCCCAAAGTACACACATCCCCAGACGCTCCCCCATCAACTGGGACCCCCAAACTGGGGACCCTCAGCACCACAAAACAGCTATGTCTCCACCATGAACCTCCGCAATAGGTACAAAAAAAAATGGGGATTCCCAAGGATCCCCAACTCCCCTATGTTGAGGTCCCCTCAAGTGGGACTCCCTGAAGATACCCTGAAATTGTGGACTCCTCAGATGCCCTAAATCAGGAACACCTTAACCCCCGCCAAATGTAGACCCCTCAACTGAACCCCCCTGGTCTCTCCCAGAGAAGGACTCCAGGATTTCCCAAGAGCCCCCCTCACCCCAAACTCAGGGACCCACCCTGAGCCCCTCCCCCTCCCTGGGCCCCCCAAATTTACTGACCCTCAAAGTTTCTGGCCTCCACGTTGACAGGGACTCCCGAGGACATCATGGCCTGGAAAGGTGGGGGGAGAGATCTGGGGTCCCCCTGCACACTTGGGACCCCTCTGGGCGGATTGTGGAGTCTACCCTGGGGGTCTGGGTTCCCTCCTGGACACCTGGGACCCCTCTGGGCCAGTTCTGGGGGCTCACAGACACATGGGACCCTTTTGAGGGGTTTTGAGGTCCACAATAGCAGGGCATCAGATGCCTGGGTCCTACTGAAGTGATTCTGGGGTCCCCCATGGGGGTTTTGTGGTCCCAGATAGACACCTGGGATCTCCCTGGGCTGCTTTTGAGGTTCCACAGGACACCTGAGTCCTTTAGGGGCCTGTTTTCGGTTCCGCCCCAAGGGTTAGGGTCCCTCCTGGACACCTGAGATGCCCCAGGGCAAGTTTTGGGGTCCCCCTGGGTCCCCTTTGGGAGGATTCTGGGGTCCCTTCTGGTTGCCTAGGCCCTGCAGGGCTTGGGGTTGCACTTGGAGGATTCGAAGGAGCCCCGAAGGGGGTTTGGGGTGGTACATGGAGGATTTGCGGTCTCACCTGTAGGATTTGGGGGTGTGGGGCCTACACATACAGGATTTGGGGTTCTCACCTAGAGGATTTCACAGGATTTGGAGTCTCACCTGAAGGATTTGGAGTCTGGGGTCTCACCTGGAGGACTTTGGGGCCCAGGGAAGGGAGTGTTGGGGGTCTCGCCTGTAGGATTTTGGGGAGCCCAGGGAGGGGTTTGGGGTCTCACCTGGAGAATTTCAGGGTGTCCATAGGCTGCTGCCAGGTGCAGGGCCGTCCGGCCCCTGTGGTCAGCGGCATCGGGATCGGCCCCCAGAACCAGCAGGTCCCGCACAATTCCCGGAGCCGCTGCTGCCGCTGCCACCAGCAGCGGGGTCTGGGAGGGCAGAAGGAGGCATCATGGGGACCTGAGGGAATCTTGGGGGGAGGTCAGGGGGTCTTGGGGGTAAAAGAGGTGTCTGTGGGGGTCTGGTGGAGGAAAAGGAAGGGTCAGTGGGGTCTGGGGGAGTCAGGGGTGGTACGGAAAACCCAGCACCCCAACCCACAAATTATCACCCTGGTGCACTTTTACTGTTCTGCCCCCCTTATTACCCTCTGTTATTAATTGCTCCTTCATTAGCCCTTTAGTGGCCTCTAATTACCCCCATTATTAATTACCCCTTTTTCCCCCCATCACTCACCCATCCCCCCCATTATTAGGCTATGACAGAACCCTGTGATTAATAACCCCAGAATTAACTACCCCACCCCCATAATTAATTATCCCCATAACCCTCTGATCATGCCATAATTGCCCTTTTACCCCCGCCATCCCCTTATTGCCCCACGAGGACCCATTAAGTGCCCCCATAGCCCCTGTCTTACCCCTTGTGCTGCCCCCTCACCTTTCCCAGGTGCTCCCGCATCTCAAGCCCTCCCAGATCCCGCAGAGCCTCAGCTGCAGCCCGGGCAGGCGCTCGCAGCCCCCCTGCACAGAGCACGTGCAGCAGCCTGAGGGTAGAGCGGGATTAGACGGAACTCTCTTGACCCTCAGACACCCCCCCCCGGGGACCTGTCACCCTGGGGCTCTTCCCAGCACTCCACAACTGCCCCTGGGGGATTCCCAGCACTCCACAACTGCCCCTGGGGGCTTCCCAGCACCCTTCTTGCCCCACTGACTCCACCATTGACACCCCAATTACCTCACCATGATTCCCCCAGTAGCCCACTGTTGCCCCCCTTGGCCCCCCCAGTGAACTCCTCGTTGACCCTCCTATTTACCCCCCATTCACCCCACATTGATCCCCCCATATTGACCCCAGGTGACTGACCTCCTCATTTCCCCCCCTTTGGTCTCCCCTTGTCCTCTCCATGGGCCCCATTGACACCCCACTGACCCCTCCCCCGGCTTCCCATGTCTCCCCCACTGGCTCCCCCAGTGACTCCCCATTTGCTTCCCCATTGACTTTTCCGCTGTCCCTCCTACTGACCCAAATAACCTCCACGAACCTCGCCACTGCCCTCATTGTGCCCAGGCCATTGACCCCCCCCCATGGAGAACCCCCACATCCCCCATGACTCCTGTACCCCCGGCCCCCACGGTCCCCCCTTACGTGTCCCCCTCCTCGTCCTGCCACAGCAGCTCCCAGGGGTCTTGGCCCCACAGCGCAGCGCGGGCAACCGCTAGTTCCCGGGGGTCAAGATCAGGGTCTGGGGTCTCCCTCCCCATCGGGGGGCCCCCAAATTCCCTTCCTGGCATGGGGGGGTGGGTCCAGGCAGGGCCAGGGGTAGCAGCAGCCTTGGGGGGGGAAACAGAGATCAAGAGGGGAGGGTCTGGTCCCAGTTACCCCTCAGGGCTCCAGGGACCCCCCAAATCCTGCTCCAGTAACCCTCACATTTTCCCCCCACTTCCCTCCCTTTGCCCTATCCAGCTGCCCCCATTTTCCCCATCTCCCACACTGCTCCTCCATTGCCCCCTATGGCCCTCCTATTTGCCCCATTCCCCCTCATTTCCTCCCATTCCCTCCCACTGCCCTCCTTAACCCTCCCATTGCCCCCATTTAACTCCCCATTGCCCCCGATTCCCCCATCTGCCTTCCTTTGCCTCCAGTTTCCCCCCCCATTTCTGTCATTGCCCCCACATTGCCCCTCATTTCCCCCCATTGACCCCCATTTAGCCCATTGCCCCCCATTTAACTCCCAGTTGTGAACCCCATTTCCCTCCCATTGCCCCCTCTGACCTCCCTCTCACCTGAAAACCCCCCAGACCATGGGCCCCTTCCCCATGGGCCCCTGCCGGGCTGCTGGGGGGGGACACAGGGGGGACCCCACAAGGCTTGGGGGTCACTAGACGGGGTCTGGGCCAGGGGGCACCTAAGGGAAGACCAGGTGTGAGTGGAGAGACATAGGGGAGGGCTTGGAGTTGATTGGGAAGGATTGGGGAGGACCTGGCAGTGCAATGGGGGGCAAAGTGGGCAACATGGGGAGGATCTGGGAGGCACAAGGGGGGATTGGGGGGCAATGGGGGGCATGGGAGGGTGGCAATTGGGGCCACAGGAGGGGAGTGGGAGGGCAATGAGTGGTATTTCGGGGGGCACCGGGGGGGTCAGAAGTCACTCACCATCCGCGGGGTGTGGAGGGGGCACAGCCAAACCCTGGAGAGCAGAGGGGACAGTGAGGGGGTCAGCGAGGGGAGGGGGAGGAGGGTGTCACCTGGAGGAAGGGTGTGACTCACCGGGGATCTTGCCCCTTCCCCGCTCTGCTGCTGCCGCAGCTCCTTCAGCAGTTGCTTTACCGTCTGGGGGGGGGCTGCGCGTGGGGGACCTGAGAGGGGCAAGGAGAGGTTTGGGGGGTTACCCGAGTGACTGGGAGACCCTTAAAACTCCTGAGATCTCCCCTGAACCCCTGAGACCCCGCCAAATTCCCAGGACCGCTCCAGACGCCTGGTGATCCCCCCCGAACTCCTGAGACACCTCCCCCAAAACCCCCGTGTGCCATCCGAACTCCCGGCCAAACCCCACCCCGACTCCCGGGACTCCTCAAACCCACGGAATGCCCCTGTCGTGAAGTCACGGGGATACCCACTGCGTCACCGCCCGCCCCCGCTGGCCCCGCCGCTGCGGGATCCCCCTCAACCCCGCCGGGAGAATCCGGCAGAGGGGACACGGAAATTCCCGCCCCCCGCTTAAAGGGCCAGTGTGTGTGTGTGTGCGCGTGTGTCCCTCCCGGTCTCTTTAAGAGCAAGTATTCCCCTCCTCGGTTCTTAAAGGGCCAATGTTCCCTAAAAGTAGCTCTTAAAGGGCCAATGCCGCCTAAATGAGGGTCTTAAAGGGCCAGTGTCCCCTAAAGGAGGGTCTTAAAGGGCCAGGTGTCTTAAAGGGCCAGCACCCCCACCCAGAGTCTTAAAGGGCCAGCGTCCCCTAAAAACGAGTCTTAAAGGGCCCGCGCCCTCCCCTGCTCCAACCTTACCTCTGTGAGGCCGCATTCCGCGGGGTCCCGGGGGCAAATGGGGCCGGGGCGGGCGCAGGGGCCGTTTTGGGGGGGGCGAGGGGGAGGCCCCGCCCCGGAGGGAAATGCCACCAAAACGCCCGCGGTGTCACTGTTGAGATGAGTGACACGGGGCGGAGCTTCGGGGACCCCGTGGGACCCAATCGAAGGGGGCCGGGGGCAACTGGCCGGGGGCCGGGAGGGGAGTCCCAGGAAGGTACCTTAGCTGTTCCCATGTGACGTCATCGGCACCTACTAGGGACGACAACGCCGGGGGGTTCCCTAGGGTCCCCCTCAGCCCCTCAGTCATTTTGCGGAGGATCTCTGCCCTGTTTATGGGGCCTCTGACCAATTTGGAGGTGGGGGCTCTGTCCCCCCAGACCCAGCAGACTACGAGACTCACCGAGACCACGAAGACCTCCAAGACCAAATAAAGGCTGGTGCCTTTGTTTGGGGGGAGGATGACACACTCCGGGAGGGGGGGGGGGGTCCCCAGGACCTCGAGTTGGGGAAGGTGTTACTGCTCCCCCTGTGCCCCAGTTTTGTGGGGCATGTTTCCCCACACTCCGCAGTCTAAGGGTGACTTAGTGGAGTGCAGTGCAGACCCCATGAGACAAACAGCAAGAAAAAAATAGGGAGAGGGAGCCTGATCAAAGTAGACATGGAAGGAAACTTGAAAATGCAAAAAGGAATAAGATGGTCAAGAGAGAACTAAAAAGAGCAAGCTACAATAGCAGTGTGTATATATAAGCAAAATCTTAAAGCCAAGGGATTAATAGAGGAAAAGAGACAGCAAACAAGACAAAAGTAGATAGCAAACTCAAATTTTTAAAGCTAAGGAACTGAGAGAAATTAATTAAAAAATATCAACAGCAAACTAAAATAAAGGCAGACAGAAATTTAAAAAAAAAAAAAACCAAACAAAAAAAACCAACCCCACCTTAAACTTTCTGACACATGACAGGACATCTTCAGAAATTTTGCTTGTGAAAGCGAAAACATAAATGTGCAGCTACTGATTTGCATGTGTGTCTTAGCAATCAAAAGTTAGCCCAGAAAACTGACGAATGTGAAGAGTATGTACCTCAGTCTTCATATGGTAATCTCTGATCTGCCTTCAAACACAGTACTTCTGAATTTGGTGGTCTTAAAGACAACAGAGTAGTACAGTTGTCCAGATTTCTCATTACTGCAGTTTATTTTTTGTGATCTTACTTCACTACTGAAAGAAAACTGAGTCCATGTTACCCTGAAAGCCTATAGGACATGTCACCAATGTTTGTGCCTCTAATTATCTAGCTGGCCATTGTGGGTCAGACAAATACAGTAGAAAATAAAAATCAATTGTACACACAAAGTGGACATTATTGATGAATAGGAATAAAAAGGCCTTGATCTTCAGAGAATATTTCCACGATTGAATGATTAACGATTACTGCGACATTTGACCCTAAACAAGAAAACACAATATAGTCATTAGAACTTTTGGGGGATGTTTTGCAGCAAACCTGCTTGTTAAGTTGTTATTTGACTGCAATACCATTTTGAAGGAGGTAATGCATTCCAGAACATGGTGTGCAAACCATTAAATGTTTGCCTTAACATTTAGCTTTTACAGAGCAAGTAAAGTAGTTCAGTCTTACTGAACACTTGGGGTTTTCAAACGTATCTGCTTCAGCATCTTTGCAGGAGCTGGGGGGATGGGAGATGTCTGTGGACCACTTCAGCAGACTTAGATGACTTTTTAGCAATAAAAGAAAAATGTTTAGAAACATACTTTAAATACTCCATAGAAAAGACTTTTGTTTAGAATCCTAGAAATGGCTGGCTGTAGACTGCTAGTTTGCCAAAATGATTAAGTACTTCTAGGCAAGCTGCCATTTAACTATAAAATCGGACATGACCTATTGACTGATCCTCAGCACCAAAATTAAAATATAATGATTAGCTTTTTAGAGTGCTCAGCAGAGGAAGTTTATTCATCCTTCGCAGGACATTTGAAACAGGAATACGCTTTTGCAGAGCACTGATGAGAATCACCTAAAAGAACATTATAGTCCTGTATACTTCTTAACTCATAATGGTCCTAGCAGTGGAGTTACTCATTAATACCAGGCTGTGTCCTTGGCCATTGCACTGCTAATGCCGCCTCCAGAAAAATTTACTCACATGGATGGAAGATGGCAGTGGTTCTGACTTTTTATTGGACGTCGCAGATGTTTAGTTTTACACATTTTTGTAAAGAAAGGTATGTTTTAATTTTAATTTTCTTCTCTTTAAAAAATGTCTAACTTGTCTATTTGTATACTGATTTGCAAGAGTATTTTCATGTTTAGAAGGCTGCCTTTACATGATGTTCCCTCTATGGTCCTCAGTATTGTGACCAGAAGACTCCAACTTCCTTCTGATTTCTTAACAATTATTTTTGAGGGTGAAAATTAATCCCATTTGAACAGAAAAAGCTATGTTAAACCACGTTTTTCCTAAAAAATACTGAAAGAAAGTTACTATTCTCCTTTTCAGTATAACTGAAATCTGTTGAATTGCACTGTACGTACAATGAAAAGGAAAATCTGCAGATGTACTGCTTATACCCAGATATAATGCTGGTAAAGAATTTTTGTATAAATCCTGTATTTTTCAAAGAATTGTGGCCAAATATAGTAACTCTTGACACTTAGACCCTTATTCACTATTTCAAATGCAGGTGTCATCGAATAGAGGAAACGAGACCAATTATGCTGATTCTATTTATTTATCATGGACGTTTGCAAACAAAGAGCAAATGTCTGTCTGCACAAAATTGTATGCTTAAATATATTTTTTAAATTAACAAAGACATTTTAGTGAGATACTTTATTCCCTCTTGAGTTCCTTTGTATAATCAATTTCCACTTCAGCTGTGATGTGAGACTTGGAACATCCAAAACAGAGGACCAGGAAATATTCCCATACCTTCATAAGTGTCTTAAATATAACATACTGCTCTTACATTGCTATCATGTGATGGTTCAAATGGATCACTAATGCTCTTAAAATCCTGCTACAAGTCAAGGTCCATTAGTTTCCACTGATCTGATGCAGACTGAGGGTGCTTAATACCTCATAGTAATGTGCTTATCAGGATGTCTTTTAAAGTCGACATGGGCAGATGATGCAGTTTTCCATCTTGTAGATGAGAGAAAATAATACCCAGATTATCACTGAGCAGTTGTTCAAGTTGCCAAGGTTACCATGTAAGCCACGATAGTTTTGCCCAGTATCACTTTTTTCGTAATGCGTTAAGGAAGGAATGCAGCTTTTATGATGTTTTATACTTTTTTGCTCTCATACATTTTAGTGTTCAGATGGCAGAATAACCATGGGAGACTGGAATTTCCTTGGAGGCATTTTAGAAGAGGTCCACATCCATTCTACTATTATCGGAAAGATTTGGCTAACGATCCTCTTCATATTTCGAATGCTTGTCCTCGGAGTGGCAACCGAAGATGTCTGGAACGATGAGCAATCAGAATTTATATGCAATACTGAGCAACCTGGTTGCAGAAATGTGTGTTATGATGAGGCCTTTCCCATCTCTCTCATAAGATACTGGGTCTTGCAAGTTATATTTGTGTCTTCCCCTTCCTTGGTGTATATGGGTCATGCCTTATACAGACTAAGAGCCTTGGAAAAAGAGAGGCAAAAACAGAAAGCTCAGGTAAGGGTGGAACTTGAAAGCACCGAATTAGAAATGACTAAAGATCGTAAAAGGCTGGAGAGAGAACTCCGGCAATTGGATCAAAGAAAGCTAAATAAAGCCCCCCTGAGAGGCTCTTTGCTCTGCACTTACGTGATACATATTTTCACAAGATCTGCAGTGGAAGTCAGCTTTATGATTGGGCAGTATCTTCTTTATGGCTTTCATCTAGATCCCCTTTATAAATGTCAGAGACATCCATGTCCAAACACAGTTGACTGCTTTGTATCTAGACCAACAGAAAAGACAGTCTTTATATTATTCATGCAATCAATAGCGACTGTATCATTGCTTTTAAATATCCTGGAAATTATCCACTTAGGATTACGAAAAATTAAAATGGGACTCTGTGAGCAGAATAAAAACAAGGACGACTCTGACAAATTCCACATAAACACGTCTAAGAAATACTCTGTGATACCGCAGTCTTCTTTTGGAATATCCACCACCCCTCAGAAAACTCTTCCTTGTGCACTTAGCAGTTATACCTTTTTTATGGAAAAGCAAACTGACACTACTCTCTACCCAGTTCTAATTTCTCCCTCTATGTTTCAGTCTGTGCAAAACAATCACACAGAAAGCAGCAGTAATTACACCCATTGCAATCAGGAAAATAAATTGCCAAAGAAGAGGCCAACTACAAATGCTTTAGAAAATCAGACTCAAAATGTCAGCATGAATAATAACGAGGGTTTTCTTGGCGAGCTTGGGACTGAAGTGCATGATGCACAAAAAGAGGCTGAAAAGGAACATTTCCTTGTTGTTACTCAGAATGCAGATATGGCTTCAAACATGTGTTTGAGAAGCTTTACTGACATGCCATCTCAAACTTCACTGCAACCCAATACAATTTTTCCTTGTACCAGTTTTAGGCGGCAGCATGGAATTGGTTTGTCTTGGAACTGCTCAGCAACGGTTGAGAGTGCAGGAGCTTCAACAAATTCTCTTCCAAAGACCAGCAACACAGGACAAAGCAGTTTCAGTGCAAACAACGCCCAAACTCCTCCTTACAATACTGACATAAAAAATTTTAGCCGACCAGACACTCCTGACTCTACAGAGGTGAGCTCAGAATCTACACAAAGTAGAAACTTGAATAGTCCTAAGCTTTACTCTCTGTCTAGGCAACTGTCACTGTCAAGTAATGCCAGCAGCAGGCGTGCCCCCACTGATCTTCAAATATAGTGGGATTTAACCCATCAGTGTTGGAATAATTACTGAACAAGGAGACATAAGAAGACGTGTGTAAGGGTAGCTAAATCATTCAACTTTACCCAGCTTTTTCACACAGATAAAAAAGTCGTGTAACCCTTTGAATGGTAGCTAAGTAACTTTTAAACAGTCTCTTCTTTTGTAATGAAAATGTGGCATAGACCTCAGTGTATAAATTTCTACACTCCTTCCAGCTAAAAAGGAGAACATACATCCTCTAAGTCCACATATGAAAAGTCTGGCATGACTTTTTTTAAGTGAATAAAAGTAGAAGAAAAAATTTACAGTCTAACAATATATTTTGCAGAGACCAGTAAATGAAATTAGGCTAAAGGTGGCACTGGCGCTCTCAGGAGAACTTATTGGTAAACATGTTTCCACTTAGTCTGAGAATTCAGACTTTTCATAGCTGTCTGAAAGCAGAATGTCAGACATATCCCACTCTTCAAACTGGGTTAAATACAAAAAGAACAAAACATTCGATATACAGATCACCCGTTCTTTGACTCTGTGGTACACTTTTTTTTCAGTGTATCACCACTGACTTCCTCAGCAGAAAAATCAAAGTGAATTTCTTTTACTATTAGAGTTCAATACACTATTACATTTTTAAAGCATTGTGAATTGCAAACAAGCTATGAGCTTTAATTTTGACATTTTGCATAACACTAATAAGATAGCAATTTTTTTAAAATCAGAAAAAAAGTTACTGAAATTTATTAATCAGAAATTTTGAATTTCGCAAAACAGAAGGCTTACTATGGAAAATAGAAAAAAACCCCAAAAAACAATAACACAAAACAACCAAAAAAAAGAGAGAGAGAAAAAAAGTAAATACAGTAGTACATTCCTGCTTTCATTTACAATTACAAAAGGCATATCAAAGGTTTATCAAATTGTAAAACTATTCCCTTTCTGTTGTCTTTCCCTCAAATTCTGAAACTTTTAAATCAAACAAAGCTTATACTTGTTTAGAAGGAGCATTTTTGTTTATGCTTTTTTTGGGGGTAATAAAACATTAAGGACATTCATTCACTTGCTGCTCTGGTCCATACGGTGTAAGGAAAGTTCCAAGAATACCTTGAATTAGTAAAGGAGACAAAGATGAACAAAATACTGTTACATTTATAATAGAGCTTTCTGTGTATGAAATACATTTACTTGAGTCACACAGAACTGACAGGTTGTAAATACTTGGTGAGGTGGTCACAGCTGAGATGCATTAGTGTATACACGTGGGTTTTTTACTAGTGGATGTAACTTACTGTACATACACTGGAAAAATATTTTATGGCAAGTATCATCATGATGTTACAGCATAATGAAACTCTTAAGGTGTGCATGGTCACTGTGCTTACCAGACAGTCATGCTTCAGACTGGCTGAAAAGCTGTACAATACTAGAAAAAAGGAGCCAGAAAACCTAAAAAGCTCTTTTGGCCCTGTCCACGTACGAAACACACATCAGTGCTATTACAACTATTCACTGTTTCTTTCAGCAGGTATCCTTTTCACCTCTTATATCATTCTCTGTGTGTACATAAATACAGCCCTACATAATCCTGTCTGCAGTGTAAAATTTAACATTGTGTAATACACTGGAATGCACATAAATGTATAGCCTGATTTAGGTCAGTTAATACTGCTACTTTAACTCTTTATTGGCTTTAACTCCTGCATTTCTTGATGCATAAGATTCTGTGGGCGGTAACTGCTGATGCTTGTTTTGCATTTAATGTCTGTAATAAAAAAGCTTAGTATTTAATGCACTCTGCTCCCACTGCCAAATAATAGAAAGTTAGCATTTAGATGTTTACACAGGGGATATGACCTTTGCATTTCTGTTCTTCAAGATGAGTTACAAAAGATTTTGGTTTTCTGCTGCTGAGAGCAGAATTTTGTTAACTTTTTTCCTCTGGACAAGGGTCAAATATTTCATTTCATCACAGCACCTTGCCAATAGAAAAGTGTAACTTAATTCTAGTGCAAACTGAAGACACTGCAGAAGAGCACAGAGAAGAAGTGTGAAAAGACTCTTAACATCCCAGATCCAAGATCATTTGGCTGTTTCTTTTTTTTTTTTTTTTCACTTCTATAATAAACAGATTTTACCTGTCAGTAGATACCAGAGACTTTCACAAAAATAAACAGGTATAACTACTTCCGTGTTTTTTTAAGCAGGCTAAGGCAAATGACTTTCCTTATGATGCAAAGATTTCACCACGTATCACTCTTTGGAGCCCCTCCGGTGTGCACCTATGCAGCTGCTGCTTGCTGCAACTTTCCCCTCCTGTGATTGTCCTGCTCTGGTCTGCCCTGAGGCTTCACCTTCAATATTGTGGCAGTTTTGGTCACTGTAATACAAGAAAGATATTAAGCCATTTCAGAGTGTCCAAAGGAGGGCAACAAAGATTGTTAAGGGCCTTGGGGGGAAGCCATGTGAGGAGCGGCTGAGAGCACTTGGTCTGTTCAGCTTGGAGGAGACTGAGGGGAGACTTCATTGCAGTTACAGCTTCCGTGGGAGAGGAAGAGGAGGGGCAGACACTGATCTCTGCTCTGTGGGGAGCAGGGACAAGACCCCAGGGAATGGCCTGAAGTTGTGTCAGAGCAGGGTTAGGTTGGATCTCAGAAAAACGTTCTTTCCCCGGAGGGTGGTTGGGCACTGAATAAGCTTCCCCGGGCAGTGCTCATGGCACCAAGGCTGCCAGAACTCAAGGAGTGTTTAGATGATACTCTCAGGCACATAGTGTGACTCTTGGGGATAGTCCTGGGAAAGGCCGACGGTTGGAATCGATGATCCTTGTGGGTCCCTTCCAACTCAAAATACTCCGTGATCCTGTGATTTCAGCGCACTGCAGTTACCCCTCGAGTCCCCGGCAGTACAGCTCAGCATTCCAGCCGAAAGTCGCGGCACCCCCAGCCGCCCGGAGACACGATGCCCCCAGAACCTTCACGGCCCAGCGCGGGGCGAGGCTCGAGGGCGGTGCCGCGGCCCCGTCGCTCCGGTAACGGTGGGGAAGCGCTGGCGCTGTTAAAGCGCACGGCGCAGGCGTGTGGTGGGGTGGGTCCGGTGTGGGGTAGATGGCGCATTACAAGGTAGGAGGCAGTCCTGGCGCGGGTGCGGTGTTGCCCCGCTTCCCGCTCGGAGCGGCGGGACCGACACCGGCTCGGCCCTTCGTGCCGCCTTCGCGGCGGAAAGCGGGGCCGGCCCGGGCCAACGAGCCGCCTCGGCAGCTGAGGCGGGGCGCGCCGCCGATCTGACCGTGTGGGCGTCCTCTCTCAGGCCGCGGACTCCAAGCGGGAGCAGTTCCGCCAGTACTTGGAGAAGTCGGGGGTACTGGACGTGCTCACCAAAGGTAAGTCTCCTGCTCCTGAGGGGCCAGCGGGCGGCTTTTGCGGCTCTGCCCGCACGGCCCGGCCCGGCCCGGCCGTGTTGTGGTGGCCCGTCGGGCAGCCCCGCCGGCTCCCGCCTCGCCGGCCGCCTCTTCCTCTCAGTCGGCGAGGGGGTAGCAGCAGAACTCTCCTGGAAAATCTCGGTGCGGCGTGGCCTGGAAATGGAATCCGAACTGGGCGGCGAGGGAGGGCGGTGGGCCTCTGGTAACGCGCCCTGGAAGTTACAAAGCGTTAATTCCTGTGGGGGTCGATTGTTAGAGGCGCGTATGAGATACGAGGCGGTCCCTCTCCACGTGTGGTTGTGTTGGAGATCTCTCATACTCTCGGACAAAGTGGTTCTTTCGATGCGTGCTTTTGGTTAATTTTTTGGGGGCTGTTATTCTGTCAGAGCTCTACAGAGAAAGTAAATGCTTGAGGTGAAATAACAGCAAGTGTTATTTTAAAACCCACTTTAATAATTCTTTAAGACCCTTTCTTGAGTAGAACTTAATGCTTTTTCTAAAACGAATGAAACTTATGTTTTGGAGAGTGACTATCAATATCAAAATGGGGAAAATTATGCTAAACTTGACACATATGACTTGGCATCTTTGAAGTCTTTTTGAGAGCCTTCCAATAGTATGTGGCAAAAATCTGTTTTCATATCTGATTGAAAATACACTGTTACAAGAGGGAGCAGCAGATCTAGGGTGTCAAGCAAATAGGTGTTGCATTAAGACTCTTGGCCTGGTGTGTGAGAGCCATTTGATTTTTCTATTGCAATACCATCCAATGCAATGGCAAAACAAGCCTTCCAAGCACTGAGGCATCTTAATTTTGTTTTTAATTTAGGAGATGCGTATCTTAAAACCAATTTGACTGTGCAGTTTGAATATCTGGAACTGGCACATTGCCCCTGTAGAGAGTGGGGAATGGTTATGTTTGGGAACTTTCTGAGTATTCACATGACTGAGTTCTCCGTGTATATGACTACTTTTATTTAAGCTGTCAGGGTATTGCTGCTTGTGTTTTACTTCTGTGGCCATTAGGGGCCCCATCCATAAAGATTATCAGTGTCACCTACTCTGACAGGTTTTTTTATATTATACTCTGACAGTAGCCATTTAGTTTTGTAACTGTAGGTGTTTGATGGAGGTTTGCTTTTATGCTGAAAGTTACAGAACTGCTGATGTCCTGTGGTTCAGAGAAGTGGAAATAATGATACATGAAGGGAGTCTCAAAATAGTTAGGATTTCAGTCTTGCTGATGAAAGCTAATACTAGTGTTGCATGTGGAATGTGTAAAAATTGTCCAGGCCATTTTGTGTTCTGTGCTGGACTAGCCAAAGACTGAGGTTGTGAATCAAGAAAACTTATATTTAGCTGTTACTAGGTGGAATGCTCTGTCTAATCCTGTACAGCAGACCTGTTGTTTATGTCAAAGTATACAGGTGAAAATCATGTTAAATGGAAAAATGTGCTATAAATGTTGTTATGCTTTCTGACTGTTGTTATGTGTTCTAAAAACTTAAGAGTTGCATGAACTTCTTGCAATTGATGAATATTTTCTGTTTGCAGTGTTGGTAGCCTTATATGAAGAGCCAGAGAAACCAAATAGTGCACTGGAGTATCCTTTTTCTCTGCTGTGTCTTGTTTGTAGAGACCTTATGTGAAACAGCAGTACTGCTTCTGACTCATAGGTGAACTTGAAAGGCTCATTTAGAAGCCTTGCCTGGAAAACATGGCTTTTATCTTTGCATTTTGGCTAATAATTGACTTCTTACAAGCTAATGGAGAGTCTGACAGGATGCAAGAGAACTGGGCTATCAGTGTGCCAACAATTACAAACCTAAGGTATAGGCCATTACAGAGTTGTAGACCTGCAGCATTTGAGTGCAGTGTCTGTGACTTCTGAAGTTTGCTTCTTCACATTTCCTTTTTTTGTTTTGTTGGTTTTTTTTTTTTTTTAATAATAAGAATTTGTACTGATGTCTTGGTTTTGGTTGGGTTGTTGTTTTTTGTTTTTTTTTTTAAAGGAATATAGCTATGAATTTAAAAACCTCTCTTATTTTTTAACTTCATTCTATAGGATGAAAAGCACTGTAGTAATCTCAATGGTGTACTGTGATTTTGGTCATGTGTACTGCAGTGCTAACTTCAACGTGTTAAAACTAAAATGTGGTTACACTATATAACTGAAGAAATGCTTAACGTCTAAATATCAGCTTTCTGAAGCATCATCTGGGAGCTTCAGCTCCTGAGAATCCAGAATTAGAGGCACTTCGCTTGGAACTGGCAGAGATGAAACAAAAATATGAAGCTGTGCTGGAAGAAAACAAAACCCTGAAAAGCAAGGTAAAATCTACTTGGTGTTACTCTGTAGTTCCATATCATACAATGAAAAAAATACTTTAATACTTAGGATACAGCTTTCTTCCATTAGAGTAACTGATAAATGTTGCATTGTTTAGCGTTGTGGCTGAGAAATGCTGATAGAATTCATTGTAGTTAAGGTGGTTTTGTTTTTTTTTAAATGGGACGCTTCTTTTAGAATATAATATGTAATAATACTAAACTTGGGATTTTATTTATTCAGGGAAAGTCTGTACTATCAAGTCTAATACACTCTTATTCAATCCTGTCTGGATGTGTTTGTCTGATATTATGTAGCTCATTCTTCCATGAGAGTTTTGAAAAACTCAGGTAATTTATCCATTATAAAAGTTTTCAAAAGGCAAACCAAAAGAGTAATATTCTATATCACTTTGTCACTTGGCACAGAGGCACACCCTTGCACATGGCAGGATGGCACCAGTGGAGGACATTAGACCTACAGAGAACAATAATACGTGCTTTTTATCCAAAACAACCCTGGTATTTCTCTATGTGCAACAGCAGTGAGTCTGAAGTGCAGGCAAAGGCAGGGCCATTCTTTAATGGGTTTGCAGGCCGTCTGAAAGAGCTTGGAAGTGTGAACAGCTTCCTAAAAACACTGAAGAAAGAAACCTTTGAGGTGCTTAATACTCCAGTAGCTTATATGCCACTGCAGGTTTACCTGCATTTATTGGAAATGGATGGTGGCTGTTATATGTGAATATAACAGAGTTTTTTACTAGGAGACAGCCACTCCACTTTAGGTCTGGGAGAAGGGATTCTTGGGCATTACCCCTTTGTATTTCTTGTCTGGAGTACCCTCTTGCTGTTGTAATAATTCTCCTCCTCTTCTGTTACCCACTGTGAGTTCTCACAGCTACATTTGTTATTTCTTCCTAGGAAATATGGCAAACAGCAGAATTTTAGGGGAATAGCAATAGACCAGCAGTGCACTTGGTGTTGCAGACTTAAAAATGCAACTGATAGTAAGACAGACAGATGAGAGCAGAGTAATCTGAGTCTTTGTTTAAAGAATTCAAGACTTGTTCCAGGAAAGTAAGCCTTTCTGTAATCGTGGGTTCATTTGTGCTTTCATGTTATTCATCTTTCAAGTGATAACTCTTACTTTACATATTTTCCAGTGTAAGCGTGGGTTTCTTTTCCCCTTTCTTCCTTCTACTGTGTAATGCCCATCATTCTGACATCCTGTAGAACTTCACACAGAATGCGGGGAGAACACTACTGTTTAGCGTTCTTTTAGGAATCCTCTAGCATAAAATATGTGCCATTATCTGTGTGTTTATTGATAACTTCTGTTGCAATCATCTGAAGATCTGTCTCTTTCCTGACATTTATTGCTCAGAATGTCAGGTATTTGTGTGTGTGCTGAGGGCAGGGACAGGAAGTCGATAGTTAGGCTGTAGGTAGAAAACTGACTTTGGATTGTGTACTAGCCATCTGTTGTAGTAAAACTTACAAGAATGAAAAAATGCTATTTTTGCAGTTTTTATTAGCAGCAGAGTGATTGGTGCAATTTAGTGTTGCTATGAGGAAAGAACACGTGTATTTTAACTTATTTTTTATGTACTTTTTTTATTTTTAAGCCACTCTGCAATTTGCAAAGGGGAGGAATCTTAATTGAGTAAACTGAACTGGCATATCTCAGAGAGATGGTCCTTTTCAACTGTTTTTGAAGCTTGAGCTTTTCTTTAATGTCACTGGGGTCAAGTGAACACCATATCTTTCCTTGGAAGTAATTTTATAAGTAAAGGTCATATTTAGTATAAGTGCATAGTTGCCCAAGCTATGCTCTCCAGAAAGCATAATCGAAGCTAGAATGACTACAGGAAATGTTAGTTTGGATAGTGTTGCAATGAGAATAACTGTTTCATTTAATCATATTTTAGTGAAACCATAGCTTATAGGTCATCATTATGAACTGCTATCTAAGATGTGAAGTACTTAATGAGTCCTAGAACAAGAAGCAGTGAAAAATTAAGGGCAAGATCTATGTGCTTTTAGAAGGCCCCCTTGTTATGGCTGCATGGTTATACAGTGTGTCAAATGGATGTTTTGAGAGAAGGGTTATTTTGTTTCCTGACTTGAATGAAGATGAGTGAGGTCAAGTGCACAAAGTAAATGGAGCAAGTCCAGACCAAACATTTTCTTACATTTCTTAATGTAGCATGTTATATGAAATGTTGCAACTAACTAAATTCCTTTCTTTAAATCCACAGCTGGCTCAGTATGAACCACCTCAAGATGAGAAGCATGGTGAATAACAGTAGTTTCTCCTTCAATGCCTTGACTAAATAAAGGGCTTCCTGAGAACTCTGGTCTTTATTGTGTGTGTGTGAACTCTGCATTGTCTACTTTGTTACTTCATCGTCTTAAAGAAAGAAAGTGCAGTATCGTGAGCCTGCAGCTATAGCAGCAATTGACGAGTTAAGCATACTAGCCAACTTTCTTTCTGTGTTTAAGAAAAGATGACAGTTACGATGAACTTCTAGACAACTGTGTCGGCCAACTTTGAGTAATTTTCACATCATAGTCAATGGTCCTGTTTGAACTGCTGATCTCGGTTTTCTTTCAACTGAAGGGGGTGACATGGCACAGATGGACTAACTGTAAACCAAAGCAGGACCTTCAAGTTACATTCAGTGTTGCTAAATGCTGAAGATGCAGTACCTACTGAACTTATACTGCAATTTGTATGAGGTGTACCTATTTCCATGCAGTTTGTGTCTCCGCTCCTGTCTCAGAAACTGGGCCTTGGAAAGTTTATCTAGATAACGACCTGGGCAGTTCTGAACATAATACAAAAATCTTACTTTTAATGAAAGTCCTGTGTAATTACAGTGACATGTGTGAGAGTACAATGGGGAGAGTTCTGCTTTCCTATTCATCTAACTGTGAAAAGAAAATTTAGGCAGGGTAGAAAATCCAAGTAGGGTAGGGTGTGAGTGTGACTTGTGATTTTTAATTTTGCCTATGTTCTGTCTCCCGTTTCCCTGAATTTGCTTCATGACTCTTCTGAAATGCAAAGTTGACCTTTATTAAAAAAAAAAGAGATACATTTTAAAGAGCTGCATTTTTTTCCAATCCTAAAACTATGTACTTTAAAGGCTGCTGATGATAGGAAAAATAAAGCAAAGGGGAAATGAAGTTGTCCTATATATTACATTTACTGGCTATTAGTTTAACTTCCTTATTTTTAGGATAGGTTTTGCAGATTGTCTTACAGATGGGATAGGATGGATTGGAACTTTTGTTAATCTAACCAAGGGCTAATGAACATAATTATTGCTTACTTTACTGCTGTATCTAATGTTGATCTAAACAGGCCAGAAGAGAGGTAAATGAGGGGAAAATACTGTGTTAAGTCTCTAAAGCATTAATTAGAAAAAAAAATACCATGAACCAACAAAACCAAAAAAAGGCAGGAAAAAAGTCTTCCAACCTCTGGAACAAAGCAGAGAGAAAGCTCACTTGTAGGATAGAACATATCCCTAGCATTAAGTTGCACCATGTGGAAATAGGGAGAGGATAATGCTATAGGAAATGTACAGTTGAACATGTTCTCTGAGTAATGAGACTGGCATGTCTTGCTAAAGAAGCAGCAAGATGGATAAAGGTGTTAGTCGAGCCCATAAACAGGGCATGAAGGACTCCGGAGTCGAGATGTTGGGTGCCAGGGCAGGAATGCAAACTTACATTTTTCATAATTGTATTAGTTCCCTTCTGAAAAGCAGTTTGGTTCTTGCGAGTCTTAATTTAGGATTGTAATGAAGTAACAGTAACGAGTTAGATAAAACGTCAGTTGAGCTGCCTCCTTGTAGTGGGCTGTCAGTAGAAAATGGACTGACTGTTTATGTGAAGAACCTTGCTAAAATTAATGACTGTCTAAAGAAGAGTCTTGCTTTCAAGGTAACGTTTGCTTAGAGGGGGTGGCCTCCCCTACCCCTACTGAGGGCTGGTTTTACGCCTTAAGCGAAGCGGAACCTGCAGCCTGTCTCCACACCAGGGACAGGGCACGGAGGTGCTTCTTGTGGCTCCCTCGAGAGCGCGGCGAGTCCCTCTTGCCCTCCGGCTTTGCCCCGCCCGTGCTCTCCCGGTAGCCCGCCATCGCCCCCCGCCCCCCCATCCCTCCTGCTCTTCTCGGGCCGTGCTCGCACGGTGCGTCGCTTCCTCTCTCCGGCTCTGACCGGGCCATGCTCGCCCGGTGCCCTCACCCCGCCCCTCCTGCTCACGTGCGGCAGTGCCGTCAGGTGACTCGGGTCGTCTGACCGGGGCCGTCCCACCTCGCCGCCTCTCTCGGGCCAATCGGCGGCGCGGGGCTTTGACAGCGGCCAATCCGTGCTGGGCTGGGCCGTGTCGGGCTGGGCCGGGCGAGCGGGAGGAAGCTTCGGGCCGGGCGCTGGCGGGCAGCGGGCTCAGGGCGGACATGGCGCTGCAGTTCGGCGGGGCGGGCGCGCCGGGCGCGGCTGAGGAACCGGCGTTGGTGGGGGGCAGCTTCGGGGCCGCGGACTCGTTCCCCAAGGACTTCGGCTACGGGGAGGAGGAGGAGGAGGAGGCGGAGCTGGAGGGAGGCCCAGGGCCCGGCGGGCCCGGCGGCGGCGCGGGCGGACCCGGCAGCGGCGCGGGCGGGGCGGACTCCAAGCCTCGGATCCTGCTTATGGGGCTGCGGCGCAGCGGGAAGTCTTCCATCCAGAAGGTGAGGGGCCGCCGGCGGCTCCCCGCTTCCCCACACGAGTTGTGTCTCTCATTTGCTGTGCTGCTGTTCGGGGCATTCCTGCTTTTTATTGTGGGCCCATGTGGCGAAGTTGAAACGACGGGAACCTCCTGCCTAAAGACACTGGCTTTCCAGAACGGAGTCTGATCGCTTGCGCTAGAGAAGAAGGTCGTGTAGCATAGGTTGTAGCCTTTGCATTTCTTCACTTTTAACGCTTTAAAAGTAAACAAGTGAAGATGCTAGTGTGAAGTTTGTCGTGAGGTGTTTCTTACAGCTGTGAAAGCACTGTGAGCGGTACAGCTGTGCGGTGTTTAGCGTGCTTCCACTTGGAAGACTTGAGCTTCGTTATGCCTTCTGATGCTTTGAAAGAGACTTCTGCTTTTGTATAAACAGGATAGACTCTGGTTCTCCCTAGTTACACTAGGCCGAGTAAACGAGACTCCAGGAGGAAATGCCTTAGGAGTTTCAATGCCTTAGGTTTGTTGGTTGCTTTGTGAAGTCACCAGTGTTTCTTAATAAAAGTAAGATAATTTTTTCATTTGCCACGTAGCTCAACAGAATTGTAGTGTTAAGAATGATCCTTGTTCCTCAGTGCATATTTTATGTTCGTGGTCCCAGCTGTGAAGTTTTCAGTGGTATTTTTATGGAAAGATGTTTCTAGTGAAATGCGTGGTTCTCAAGCTCTAGGCTTAGGGGCCTCAAACTTGCTTCAAATGCAAGTGTGAAGACCTATCGAGATTTCTGTAAAGGCTTTGTGGAGGGAAGCCTTTTTTGGACATTGTGGTATAGCAGGTATGAATCTGCTTCTTTTTGCCATCTTATGCACACTGCTTGGTAATCCATACGCTGCAGTAAACCAATGAGTTCTAAACTGACTTCAGACTGTATGTGTTAGTGAGAAATTCTGAAATACAGTGGCAGACCAGGCTGTCATTGCTTTTTAGTCTTGTCAGTTATTCCCCATTATTTAGGTCAAATGATCTCACTGTATGTGCAAATGCAGTGATTTCACTGAAAGTCTTTTCTAAGTCTTTTTAGTCATGTGAACGGCACTGATTGTAGACTCGAATTAGAGATCTTATCGTGTTATCCGCTGTTGAAAAACCTCCCAAAAGCTAGAGGGAAGCAGCAAGTCCAAATTGCAGATGGATTTTAAGACTTTTCAGGTCTCTTTGTAGATGTACCTTTTGGACTTTTTTTATGGCCAATGTTGATAGTCTTCAGTTCTCTGAGGACCTATTCAAGTAGCTGTATAGGAAAGGAATAGTGTGATGCTGAGTATGTAATAAGAGGACATAGGATTTATCTTTTGCCCATTGGTTACCGACCTGGCTTGGGAATTAGATAGAAGCTGTGATTCTGATACCTAGGAGTTCATTGTGATGCTGCCTGAGTAAACTAACTGTGGTAATAATTTGAGACATTCTTGTAATATCAAGAAATTTCTCATCAACAGTGTTCCTGCTCTTAGATCTGTCTGGTTCCAAAATGTCCATAACCAGGCCAGCCCTTCTGTCTGGGCACTACTTGTTGATCACCTTGCCAGGGAACAGGGATATGCAAGATAAACACTGTATCAGGGAAAGTATTGGCTTTGTGATTGTCTAGAAATTTCTGTGAAAAACATGAATTATTAAACCATTCTAACCTTCCACTGAGAGCAATATTAACAGGACACCTCTTACAAAAAAAAAAAAAAAATGGTCCTGTGGAGGAACTCTTTTTCATTTGGACAGTTGGATTTTCCATACTGATATAACCTCTGAATACTCAGCAGCAAATTGAGGGTAATAGATTTTGGGAATGTGATGATTGCTTTGGTTCATAACAAAAATTTTTGTGCAGACTTGCATAGCTGGACTTACTGTACTGTCCCTGTGTAATAGGAACCTGGAAAGAGTTTGGATGGGGGACACCAGTCTGATGAAATGTGCTGCTTTGGGAAGAAGGGAAAATGGAAATGATGGTATTGCTTCCCAGAGACTTACCTGCTTTAAACCGAATTTACTAATTCTGTCCCGCTTCTGTGGGAGATGCTGAGTTCCAAAAGAAATGTTGATTTCAGAATGCTTTAAAACTATGCTGCAAATGATGCTGAGGAATGCAGTACAGCCTCTGTGTATCTAGAACTGTTCTTACTTTTCCATACAAATGTTCTGCTGTTTAAAACCTCATTAAGACCATGGCCTCCTAAACCTTCCCTTAGGCTTAAAAATCTAGGCTGACATATTGCTTTGTACCTCAGTAAACAATCCATTAACTATACTGGGTGTAGGCTTGTATGTCTTTCAGGTTTTTTTGACAGTTTGTTGCATCAGGTTTCTAATGGATGACTTCTGTAGTTGTATGAAACATCTGATAAAAACAGAATTACCAAGTGCTGTATAGGAAATATCTTCCTTTTGCAGTCCTAGTGTTTGACCACATTATGTTTGAAATAACTTCCATATTATGTAGTTGAGTTGCTTTAGAACAGTATTCAGTGTTGACACTGACTGCTTTTGCTACAGGCTGCTTTGCTGTGGAGTTACGTGCTAGTTCTGTTTGTACAGGGAAGGGCTAAAATCCCAGTGGGGCTTTTTGAGTTCTAGCAATGACTATGTTTTTCACCCTGCAGCTAAACTGTTTACTGAGTAGTGTGAAATCTTTTATAGTTTCTTTAGGGAAGTTTCACAGAAGTTCCGCCTGACCATGAGGAAGAACTTCTTTACTGTGCAGGTTACTGGAGCCCTGGAACAGGCTGCCCAGTGAGATTGTGGAGTCTCCCACACTGGAGTTACTCAAGAACCATCTGGACACAATCCTGTGTAATGTGCTCTGGGATGACCCTGCTTGAAAAGGGAGGTTGGCCCAGATGACCCCACTGTGTTCCCTTCCAACCATACCCAATCTGTGATTCTCTAATTAAAAGGAGAGGGTCAGCAAACTTAACTCAGTTGCTAATAGATGGCACACTATCTAGCTATTCAGGTCTCTAAAACAGAGATGTTATTTTTGTACTCTTCTATTGTAGTTTGGGAACCATCTGATTATGTTGTGTTATAGCACTTGACACCAGACTAAAAGCGAAGCTTCCTTTAGGAATTTCTAAGATTGTAAAGGAAAGGTTCTTAAAAACTTGCAGTTTCTTAATTAACACATTTGCTTCATACCAGATAAGAATATAATAGAATTTGAAAATGCTGTGTTAGACTTGCAAGGAAGAAAGAGTAACTGGGATATCTGTGTCTTTAGCCATTGGACTTGTGAAAATGTTTAACTGTATTCAGTTGCTTGGTTTGGGTTGGGGGGGTAGGTCATTTCCTTAGCTGATGCAGGAAGCTGTCTATATACCAAAACAAAGCTGTATGCCTTAGAAGGGATAAACCTATTTGTAAGATTTAAGTCACAAAACTTTCACCCATTTCTTCTAATAAGGTAAAGTCTAGACTATTATTTGTGTTCTTTTAACAGGTGGTGTTTCACAAAATGTCTCCCAATGAGACACTGTTCTTGGAAAGTACCAACAAAATCTACAAAGATGATATTTCCAACAGTTCGTTTGTGAATTTCCAAATATGGGATTTTCCTGGACAGATGGACTTTTTTGATCCAACATTTGACTATGAGATGATCTTCAGAGGAACGGGTGCTCTAATATATGTTATTGATGCCCAGGTAAATACAAATCACTAAGAATCACAAGGAAGTTTTATTTTTACTTTTTGTGTGAGAGGAGTTGAATGAGAAGCTAGTAATTCATATTTTTAGATATGTTCGTAAAACATCTGCTACGTATGAAGGAATGCATTGGCAATCTGATTTTTGGTGTGTGGTTTTATTTTGGTGAAGTGACTGGAACATATGCTACTGGTGGAGAGAGGGGAAAGGGGCTGGTACTCTGAAATTACCTGCAATAATAGTGAGAACCTGCTCTGCTAGGTGGATGGAATTATCCCTTCCTTCTGCTGTGGAGGTTGTTTAATAATAGCACGCTTCTGACCTTAGTTTGTAGTACTGATACTACAGGATATCTGGCAGTTTTTAATAAACCTAGAAATTGCACCATGGGAGATCACTGCTTGCCTATTGCTGGAGCTGAAATGTAACCCATGTTTTACTCTGAAGTCTAGTTTTGTGTAGCTGAGCCTTGGATAACTAATGAAACTTAATTGACATAACAGAATCTAAGCTGCTTGGATTTCTCACACTTCAGGGTATTCTCTCTCTCCTCCCAGACTTATTAGTTACAGAATTGAAGTTCTTGCACTGAAATATTTTGTTCTTGTGCAGAATGTAATAGTTATCAGAGAGAAAGCTTTATCGTTGATTCCTACCAAAACTGATTCACAGGATGACTACATGGAAGCTTTAACAAGACTGCACATTACAGTTTCAAAAGCCTACAAGGTCAACCCGGAAATGAACTTTGAAGTTTTTATTCATAAAGTTGATGGTTTATCAGATGACCATAAAATAGAAACTCAGAGGGATATTCATCAGAGGGCTAATGATGATCTTACGGATGCTGGGCTTGAAAAACTTCACCTTAGGTGAGTTAAAGACTCTGGCATATGTGATTCTGCTGTTGCTGATATGCATACAGATTAATGGCTTTTAGATGTGACTGGAGTGAGGTCTGATTACTTTCTTATTATTTAGCAAACTCTTGTTAAAAAAATACACCGCTGAATTATTTAGCAAACTCTTGTTAAAAAAATACACCGCTGAATTTATGGACATACTTTAACTGTTAGACTGACTAAAATAAGGCAGGCTACTGCATCAGATTTCAGTGAACAGATTATTCATAAACTCGATGATAATTCAAGGCCCTTCTCAGTTAGCCTAACAGGCCAAATTTGTACATGTGGCCTGTAGGGGCAGGGTTTCTTCCTTGTAGTCCTGGGTAGCACTGACTTTTCAGTGATTGGTTTAAAAGCTTAGTCTGTTACTTGAGATTTGACTCACTTATAAGGTATCTTCTACAGACACCTTTAAAACGAGGCATCTTTTCTGTGGGTCTACTGCTATTTTGGTTCTTGTGGAGCCAGTATCTTGATGTTAGTGTGAACAAAGTGGAAGGCCAGGAACCAAATTGAAGAAACCAAATTGAGCATTATTTATACCATTGTAATAAGCATTCTGTAGGCAAAGTGTGTTATGAAAGAATGTTCAAATTTTTTTCCTTGGTCTCCCATCTCTAAGGAATGGGGGAAATCTGTTTCATGGTTACTCGAGCCACTCAGAAATTAGGTTCTTTGTGCATTGGTCAGACATATTTGCGATAAAGGCATACCAGCCAAGACATCAGTCCTGAATGTTAGAAAACATAGCTTTAACATTTCTATTGCAATTCTGAAATATTCTTGAATCTTCTTTTTCTTTTTTTTTTCCTTCCGTTACCCTCCCTCCTCATCTCAGCTTTTATTTGACCAGTATCTATGACCATTCAATATTTGAAGCCTTCAGTAAAGTGGTACAGAAGCTCATTCCACAACTGCCAACCCTGGAAAACCTACTTAATATCTTTATATCAGTAAGTGTTAATCTAATGGAACTTTGAGTGAAATATGCGGAATGGTAAAGCAAGTCCTGCCAAGGAGCGCTGGCTAGATCTGCCCTTGGGAGATTTGGGTGGCACTCATGTGGGTATACTCTGCTGACCTGGATGTCTACATTAGAAGCTCTCTACCACAGCTAAATTTTACTGGTGCATGCTCTGTGGGGGTTTCTCTAAATGTTGACAAAGCATAGTTTGACTGGTTATAACACTTGTTAGGGAAGTTTCCGGCAGGATATGCTGATTAGTTTGCTAAGGCACTTAGTAGTCTAATGTTGCAACAGATACATTTGGTAATATGAACTTGGCCTTGAACTAAACTGTCTATTTCATATTGCCTGTGAGAGTTTTCCCTTTATTCTTTTAGTGTTTGCATTTCTTATAAAATTTGTGATATAGAAATTTGCTGCTGTATACTTTAAATCAAATAAAGTATCACTCTCAAGACAAGACTGTTTCATTTAAATCATGTCTGTTGCAGGCATGTGACCAACATGGAAAAAACCAGTTGTGACTGAGAGGAGCTGTGTGCTCAGACATGTTGCCCCATGCTACCCTATAATGCTTGTTTGCTAAGTTTGGTAGAGGACTGGCCCAGTGGATAAAGGGCATGCTGACCTTGATCAGTGCCATGAGGGTATGGAGTGTGATCTTGATGCCAAAAGGATTGTCTGGATGTCCTCAGGACACTGTCTTTGGTACTGACACTAGCTAGAAAGAAGAGAGAAGGAATGATTCTGGGTGCATAAATAGAAAAGAACCTTTGCCAGTAGTGTACATGTGGTAACTTGGTGAACTACAAAACACTTCTGATCTTAGTATGAGCACATGCACTTTGCTAAAGTGCTCAGTTACAAATGTCTTGGTGCTTTTCATACCCATAACTGCCGTAATGTGGTACTCTTCATGGATTTTTAAGTTCAGAAGCTGACTTAGTTGCTCTGTGTGTTAAACTATGTGGCAACTGCCTCACACAAAAACTGAACTGCCAAGATACTACAAGCATAAAACTTAAGTGTCAGCATACTACTATGAAATATCTCATCTCAGATTCCAGTCCGTTAGGTGGATGTGAATATATGGCTCTTCTGGAATTAACAGAACCGCCGAAGAGGTAAACTGCTGAATGTGGGTTCTGGAAGCATAATAAAATGTAACCTGAATTATGATCTGTTAAATAATAAGCTAAAAAGAATTACACAAGAGTCCTCAGTTTTATTTTTGTCAACTATGTAATGTTCATATGTACTATGGGAACAAGGGTATTGTATTTATAAACTATATGCTCTAAATCTTCAATCTGTCTTAAGTCTCTAAATTGCTTATGTGTAAACCATTTTCTGCTATTAAGAATGTGAAAGTTATGAATTCTACTTGAGATTTTAAAAATTCATCCAAATTCTTTCTCTTTCTGAAGAATTCAGGCATTGAAAAAGCTTTTCTCTTCGATGTAGTCAGCAAAATCTACATTGCAACAGACAGTTCCCCTGTGGACATGCAGTCATATGAGTTGTGCTGTGACATGATTGATGTAGTGATAGATGTTTCCTGTATATATGGGTAAGTGATGAATACTCTTAGGCAAAGAAAAAAGTCCTCAAATTTGTAGAATAGGTTGCAAACTGTGCAAGTAGTGCTGGCTTTGTCATGCAACAAGATGCTATTGATTGGTCTTTAGAGCACATTGGCTCTTTAAGTAATTAGAATAAAGCCAAATGATTTGGCAGCTGAATCGAGCATTTCTACTTGATTTGTTTCCCACCACTCATGGCCCCAGACAGCTGTCTGACATTTGTTAAAGTTGTGTTTCATGTAAAATGTAAATAGTGCTGTATCTTGTTTGTCATGGTGGGTGCAAGTATGTTAATACCTGCAAATAACTGGAGTGGATAACATGCTGTGGCTTGTAAGTGTAACTTGCAGTGATACCGCTTTGAGACTTTCTGCTATCTGAACAGAATGGCATATGTGACTTTCAACGAGGGATGCCCATAGTGCTTATGTCTCACAATTTACAGCAAAATTATACTTCACAATGTGTTTTAGAACTGTGGTTCTGGAGAAGCAGTAACTTTTTTTAGAACTGTGGTTATAGCCTGGAAAGTACAGTGTTGCCAAGAAATACCTCAACATTTAATGGTCTGTCTCCTGACAGGTCGATCTAGGGTTGTGTAGCTCTTTTGGGCTTTTTTGTTTTTTTCAGGAGTGCATAGAAGTAGTTTGCGATACATCATTTACTTCTATAGTGATTTAACTAACACTAGTAACTTGCAGATAGAAAACAGCATGCTAATCTTGTCTTGTAAGTGCAGGCTGGTTCAGCTTAAGACCATGCTAATCTTGTCTTGTAAATGCAGGCTGGTTCAGCTTAAGACCAAAAAGTGTCCTGCTGCCTGTTGCACCCTCCAACCCAGCCTCACTAAGGAAGCCTTTGTATTAATTTACCAAAATTAATTTCACTGAGATGCCACTACACTGACGTCAAAAGAATGCATGCTGATAGCTTACTCTTAACTGCACATCTAAGACAGACAGTATTTAATGAAGGCCTCTACTCTGTTTAGGTATAGCTTTCCTGAGAAACTTAAGGTGTGATAATGGTCTTACTCAACGATAGTATTAAGACCTGCATTGCAGGTTCTCCACTTGCTCAACATTCAGTATGAGTAGTATTCTTCTAACTATATTTAACAGGTATTTGTCTTGAAGTTACATATGCATGCCTATTAGATTATGCCTTGGGTTAACTGTTCTTTTTTCAGGTTAAAAGAAGATGGCACTGGAAGCGCTTATGATAAAGAGTCAATGGCAATTATCAAACTCAATAACACAACAGTCCTGTACTTAAAGGAAGTAACAAAATTTTTGGCATTAGTTTGCATTCTTAGAGAAGAGAGTTTTGAGCGCAAAGGTAAGGACTTCCCCACCACTGACAAGCTTTTATCTAAGGTTTTTTGTCAACTACAAAATATTAGTATGAATTTACAAGTCACCTTGATTTTTGTGTAAGTAAATTCGTATAATTTCTTTGGGGAGGAATGTTCTTATTTCTTAGAGATAGGAATATTTTTAATTCTGTGAATCATCTCTTTAATTGCTGTCTTCCTGATGAAATTACTTGTGTAGCTAATGTGAGCTCTGTCACTACCATCTGCTCTACTGGAATCAGTAGAATGGAGTAATGATCTCCTTACCTGCTGTTTAATTATGAGTATACACGTTGCATTTGAAATTGATGCCTTTTTTTAGAAAACTGTCTAAATAAATACTAGCATCAGTAAAACTTTATTAAGTCTTCTGAGCCCAAGTTAATACTAAAATAAGTAGGAAAATACCTATTGGTTAAATGTAACATTTTATATTGATTTTGGAGCCCTGTTTATGTAAATATGCCAACCTGAACAGTTTTTCCTTTCCCTTCCCCCTCCTTATTGATAGGTTTGATAGACTACAATTTTCATTGCTTCCGCAAAGCCATTCATGAAGTCTTCGAAGTAGGTGTTGCCTCCCACAGAATCTGCAACCATCAATCAAGTACCTCAAATATGAAAGCACTGACTCACAATGGCACACCTAGGAACGCAGTCTAGAGGAAAGCTAATGACCTTGGATAGACTTGTCAGCTCTTCACTCCAAAGTTTTGTGGAACAAGAGAAGAGTAGTCTGAAAGCCTGAAGTATGTTTCAGAGGAGAAGAGTGGTCCTCACTGTGGAACAGCAACTTGTAACTGATGTTGGACAGCTGAAACTACTGTAAAAATACTTTGAGGCCAGTGGAGTTAGAAATGCTGGTTAAAACCAGCTCTGTTGCAAATGCAGTAGTTTTTCAGTTTGGAATCCTATTTTAACAGTCTGTCTCTGACTGATTGCCTGGTCAAAACTTAAAAACAATTGAGTTGAGTTTTGTGTGAAACACTGAATAGTCACTTGCTCAACTGCTTTTATTATTATTATTTTAAATTAATCTGTAGAATATCCACTTTTGCTTCAGTTTACCCTTTTGTCATGCAAAAAAAAAATTAATGTAATTAAGGCTTGTGAAACTCAGGCTTTTTGCTTGCTGAGGCTGGTCTCACAAATCATTCCATTAAGTAGCTCTTGCTGGTGTGCTCATAATATTCTTGTGAATTCTGTGTTTCTTAAGTGGATGCAAGGTATAGCTCTGTTCTAATGATTATGTGTTTGTTTAGAGAACTGACCTGAGGCTTCATTTTAAGAGATCGTGATACTTCTCTTTCAGACCACACTTCTTGGTATGTCCCCTTTAAGGGAAGGGAAGTATTAAAATCAGAAATAAACTACCTGCTCTCTTTTGCAAAAACATGGATGTCATAAATCTGTGTGATTAATCCTATTCATGAAACAACTGCATGGCTAACTGAACTGAAATGTCTGCCATCTGTTGAAATAAAGCAACCACTTTCAGCTATTCCCAAGCAAAGAAAAATGACAAAGTTATTGAGTTCTGATGGTGGATCTCTTTCCTCTCTGACTGATAATCAAGACAGTTCCTAGGAAAATGTCTGAGGGTGTTATCCATGCATGGCAATTAAGTATCGGTCTGCCATAACCTACTAATAACACTGGACTTTGAAAGCATGTTGATTCTGTACTGTGACAAACACCTTCTTGTTTGTCACCAGGCAATCTGACTAGAACTGTTTTTTTCTGATTTTGTGAATGCTTACTTTCATACTATGGGCAGTGTATCTGAATTCTTTAATTTATTGATATTGGTATTATTACAGTAGGTGTCATACTATACATCAACCTTGCTATGCACTAGGCTCAACCACTGACCCGTAAAGATCTTGCCTCTCTTTACCTGTCCCTATATGTGTATAGGTGTCGCAAAGCCATTGGACCGTCTATACAAGTGCCACTATAAAATTTTGTGCAAGAAGAACTAACTGTAAGCAATCTCTGCAACTACTGTATTTATGTGGTCAGAAGTAACCATGGGAATGCTTCTGTGCTTATCGAAAGAGCTTCAACTGAACTATGTAAAAATGAATATACATGCATTAACATTAGGGTATATACACGTACTGAATAAATGTTTTTTTTTACAGCAGGAGACTTTGGAATTCAAGTGCTCTAGGTCAGTTCTCTTAAATCTAGGCTGAGCCCCTTTTTGTTAATGGAACTGTAGAACTGGTTTTTTGAGGAGGTGCTGCAGGCTTATAAGATCGGGTTTTGTAGTTTGCAAGCACAGTGTTCTAATGCTAAAGGTAAAAGGAGAAGTTTTTGGCAAGATCACAGGAAGAATGAAATAATTCCCATTTGTGCAGTGAGTTTTCCATGTTCTAAGTACATGTGTACGTTCTCTTTGGTTTTGCCCACTACAGGATTTTGTGCTAATAAAATGAAAAAAAAAAGGCACTATTGTTTCTGCTTGTCTTTATAGACAAAAGCCTATAAATGCCTGTATACTAAAGCAAATTTTTAAAAGCCATGTTATCTTTATGGTATATTTTAAAATAGTTAAATACCACATTCCCATGTGAGACTTTAAAAATTTTGGTCAAGCTTAACTTTCATCTCAATTAAAACTGAATCCAAAATGAATACTCTATTTTCAGAAGATGACTCTGGATTGTAAAGGCATGTAAATGATTACATGACTTATCCTGTTCTTTTCATTAATGGTGAGCCTTAGACTGCGTTCTGAAGTTCTGCCTTCTGCTGTGCATGTTGTGGTGGCTTTTGGTGTTTCAATTTGTTGCAGGGGTTTTTTTGTTTTGGGTTGGGAGTTTTTTGTCGGCATTACCTTTCTCTGAAATGGTTGCATCTACTAAAGGTTAATGGTAGCAGGTCAAAACCGAATACTGTAATTTTCACTATTACCTGCACAATGTTAGCTTTAAAAGTTAAATTTGTCTTTAGTAAGGAGCACAGTGTTTCTTTAGTTTACTGGAACTAGTCTTCCTAATTAAGTCAGATGCTGCTATTTAGCTAGAGGGTTACTAATCTGTTGCTGCTTTAGTGAGGCAGTTTTTGGTTTCTGCTGAAATCTTTATGGTGCCACGGAGGAGGAAGGATAGGAATTAGGCTTTATTTTCTTCCTTGTGCAGGGATTTGTTTCCCCTTCCTGTGCTGACCTGCTGCAGGGAGAGATAATGGTAGAGATAAGGGGAGGCAATATCACAGTCTCTCCAATACAAGAACTGAAACTATGAAGGAAACCATCAACTACTGCTTCACCTTTCTGCCTTGTTATTTTTCCCGTTTTCCTCCTCTACACCTGTAGTGGTACAGATGCTCTGCAGTTTTTTTGCAAACAACTGAGGTTGCGTGGTTCTGAGGAGAAAAATGGTGCGGACAGGGGAGGACATGGGGAAAATGGTGGTCTGCCTGCTGGGAGAAGGAATGAAAATTTTGTTCTGTTGAAGAATAAAGCAACCCCTTGCAAGGTACCTTTCAAAGCTGTGTTGTCTGCCACCGAGAGTTGCCGAGTTTCCTGTTGGGAATCCCACCAGCTGTAGCACAGGAGAGGGATGGAGGGGAAGGCCAAACCTGGGGAGATGGGCAGAATAGTTAAAGATGATGTCTCTCTGAGGTCCTGAAGGGTTCAATCCACCCATTGTTTGGCTGGAAGATGGTGTTGTCTTTCCTCTCTCCCTCAGATCTCCCCCTCGTTACTAAGTCCCTCGCTTCCTGTCTCCCCTGGCAGCGTGGGGCTGCGATGGGGCATGGTTGGGCTCTGGGCAAGCTGCGGGTGAGTGACTCTTGGGCTGTCACTCATCTGAGGGGAAATGCTTGTCCTGGTGCTTGTCCCAGTGCGGCCCAACGTGCTGGAGGCCAGGAGCGCGCCACCTGGCCCATACAGTGTGCGATGTGATGGGTTTTGGGAGCTGCCGGTCGCTCAGAGTGGGCATGGCCCTGCGCCTGTCTGTGCGTGGGCTTTTCTTGTGTACCAAAGACTTTGTGTTCTCTTTGGTGCAGAATAGTGGGTTTTAGCTTTAAGCACCCACTCGCAGTAGACGGCACTCTTGTAACGTGTCTGCCAGAGGACTTCTAAAAATGCTTCTTTTTGCAAAGCCATCTTCTTCACTTTAGGTCTCAAGCAGATCTCACTCTGAACAAACTCCCCTCCCCCCACCCCCTGGGACCCCCCGAGCCCCCTTATTGCTGCACAGTTGGACAGTCAGAGGTGTTTGCGGTTTTTCCTTGGAGTCTGAATTAACTTTCAGAATGGCAGAGGAAATGAGCCTTCTTTAAACTTTTCTGTTTTCTCAAGTGCTGTTGCTGTATCCCAGTGGGTTTGGTACGTTGAGAATGTTTAGGTCTCTGAGAGGGTAGAAAATGAAACTTAACAGAAAGGAAATTCATCCAGATAGAGAGAAAAGCATTACTGATTAATTATTTGTTGCACCCCACAATCTTCCCGCTTTGTTCTGATAATTCTGAAGTGATAATTTGGTTCTTCTGCACATTTTTCTTCATCCGTAACGTCTCTTCTGAAACTTGCAAACTATTAGAACTGTATTTAGCTTTCTCGCTGCCAGATATTGATCTGAGTAAACAGTAAGAATTATCTGGAATCCTTTCCCACTGGGCTATAATCCCCATACTTATCCAATTTTCTGATGTACCAAGAAATAGCTACTAGCAAAGATGCTCCACTTTGAAATCCCACCTCTGTGTCTTTCTGTAAAGGTTTACAATTTCCCAGTTATGAACTACTATGGACATTATGGCCATAAATGCTGTTTAACAATGCTGTCCTAAGGAAGCTCACTGCTACTTCAGCTGCCTTTTTGTGCTGTGTTTTGTTCTGCACCAGAATCAGTCAGTACAGGAGAAGGAAATGATGAGTACAGTACTGCAGGTAAGAAACTAGACAGAAGTGACATCTCTATCCCTAGTTATAGATCAGTACTTTTAATTATTTAGACTTCTATGCCATATAGTGAAAATCATTTTACTGTAAAATATGTACTTTCTGTGTAAGTTAAAAATACATACTTTCTATATAAGTTATCGTACTGAAAGAAAAAATTGTCACTTTTGGGGTTCAGGGTTATTGATTAACTGACTTACGGTGAAGTACCAAGTAAAATGAAACTCCATGGTGGGTAACGGTAATGTGCATCCATTACACCTTTTCTGGCTTACAGTGAGTGAATTGGTTATTCGGTGTTACCTTGTGATCTAAATACAGTTTATTTTTCTTGCCCTCTAGATGGCGGTCTTGTTCTCTTTGAAAGAACCTATTACAGAGTCTGGTAGTGCTGTAAGGGAGAAAGTTTATTTAATTAGTCACAATTTTTATGTTTGCATATTTGCAGTGTAATGTTTATGAGCGAAAATGTTGATATGTGTCTGCAACATGAAAACCTGCTGTGAACAACTATGAGCTGATGTCTTCTGCTGCTGGGCAGGGGGAGGGTAAGTACTAACTTGTTTCAGAGAATTGCAAGTATTCATTGCATCAAAAACCTGCTAATTTATCATTCAAGAAAAGTTACATAAATGATACTTTAATTTCCAAACAGCAGCTTAATTAAACCACATCTTCATGAATAACCCATCAGTGGTGTGGAGTGAAAACTTCCCGAGGTTTTCAGTTCTTCATTGTTAACAAAGCTAAATTTTTTGTTTCTTGAAGTTCTTCATTTATTTGGCTAGATAAAGCTGCTTAACAGAGGAATAAGTGAGTCCAATGTTTCCTATTCAGCTGACATTATTACTTATAAGTGAATCAACTTAGAACAGGACCTTGCTAATTGCTGTGTGTAAGTACAGAGAGGCAGAAGGATCTATTGCCCAGTTTTCTGAATTGTGGTGAACACATTTTTACAGTGTCTCTTTTGTTTCTACACGTCTTTACATATGTATTTTTCCCTGCTTCTGAACTACTGAAAGTGGAGTTTTCTCACTAAGTATCATACTGAACAGGAAGTGCTCTCCTTTTTACTGCAGCACTGATCTTAGAGTCTTTAGAAACAACTGTCTAGTTAATTGCTGTTAAAGACAATTGTGAAGGGATGATAGCTTACGTGATATATCATTGATTAAATAATTGCTTTCTGGAAAAGACTCTAATAAGTTAACGCTTCTGAAGGGGAGATCTTAAGATTATTAAGCATCCTTCTGCTGTCTTGAAGAGAGATAGCAGTTTCTGTAAGTGACAATTAGCACAGTCTGATAGTAACTTTGGTTAGAGGTGACTGGTTAATCTGCTTCTCCTGCATAAAACAGACAAATGCAGGGTCCTGCACCTGGGGAGAAATAATCTGTTGCCCCAATATGGGCTGGGGGTGACCTGCTGGAGAGCAGCTCTGTGGAGAAGAACTCCTGGGGGTCCTGGTGGACAGCAAGCTGTCTCTGAGTCAGAAGTGGGCCCTGGGGGCCAAGAAGACCAATTGTGTCCTGAGGGACATTGGGAAGAGCATTGCCAGCAGGTCAGGAAGGTGATCCTGCCCTTCTGCTCAGCCCTGGTGAGACAAATCTGTTCTGGGCTCCTCAGGACAAGAGAGATGTGGAGCTCCTGGAGCAGGTCCAACAGAGGCTGCAGAGATGCTGAAGGGACTGGAGCATCTCTCTTCTGAGGAAAGGTTGATGGAGCTTGGGCTGTTCAGCCTTGAGAGGAGACACTGAGAGGGGACCTCCCTAGTGTCTGTCAGTGTCTGCATGGAGGGGGGAGAGGGTGGACCAGGCTCTGCTCAGGGGGGCCTGGTGATGGGACAAGAGGAAAGGTCAGGAACTGATGTCCAGGAAGTTCCACCTGAACATGAGGAAGAACTGCTTTTCTGTGCAGTGACCAAGGACTGAACAGGCTGCCCAGAGAGGGTGTGGAGTCTCCCACCCTGGAGGTATCCCAGAACCATCTGAACACAATCCTATGCCATGTGCTCTGGGATGACCCTGCTTGAGCATGGAGGTGGGACCAGATAACCCAGTGTGGTCCCTTCAAACCTGATACATTCTGTGATTCTGTGACAGATAAGCTTTTATTCTTACTCCATGATTAAGGATGAATCATGGTTGAAAAACGTGATGTAAAGCATTCTGTGATCTTACCTGTCATTCATAACAACTCCTATGTCATGCAGATTTTTTATGAAAAAA